GACAGATGGACACACACACACACACACACACACACTCTCTCTCTCTCTCTCTCTCTCTCTCTCTCTCTCTCTCTCTCTCTCCCCCCGCCTCCCCCTCCCTCCCCCAGCCCTCACCACTTTTTTGGCTCCTTTCATCCAGAGATTTTTGTTTTTGTTGTGCTTCAGTGAAAATACATATTTCTCAATAATAAGTGAAGTGTATTAGCAAAAGCATATTTGCAATCACAGAGCAGTTTATTAGTGCTAAAAAGCATTTTAATAAAACATTAAGCAGTCTCCCTTACACTATTGGTACTACCAGGATACATTACTTTTATTATATAAAATTAGGACCTGTTTACACTATCCATTTGAATACACTCTTCTCATTCTTTCAGCTATGTCTTTATTGGCAGCTTGACCACTACACATTCTCCACTCTAGTCTACGTGCTTTGACTATGGCTGGGAGCTGAAAGACAAGGATGGTTTAGATGGCCACACCTAAAACAGCACTGTTATACTGGTATAACTATACCAGTGTAACTAGCCAGTATCAAGTTACCAGAATAAATAGGAAGAGTTTCCCACATAGACACACCCTAAGAATTTCTCTAGATCTAACTAGTGTCCATGCAAAGGACTTTTGGAGATGCAATTTTATTGTATAAAAATTTAGGAGGAGTAGCGGATAAAATTAAAGGAGTGCAAAGTCATGAAAATGATATAATTGGCAAGGACTTAGATTCATAGACTTGTTTTTAGAAAACAAATTGGAGTTTTTTCTACAAAAATATGGCCTAGTTCAAACAGGAATTGGTTGAGATAAGTTCTATGGCATGTGCTGTACAGCAAATTGAAACAGAAATTCACTTATAACTTTGTAAACCACATATGGCTTAACATATCTTTTGAATTTTTTCTCCTGGATCATCTCTGATATATTTGAAACTTCCCTGGTTGACAGTGCTAAAGATTTCCACTATCTTATAAAAGTGTAAGGTTCCAGTCCCAAGGCACCCAGACTAGTCTCAACCCCTGAGCTTATTCCAAAGCAATAAATGCCACCAACACATTGAAGAGCAACACTGATAAAGGACACTGGAAGGGTGGCAACATTGAGAAACAGAGACACAAGACAGCAGAGGCAAAGGATCTTACTATTTTGTAAGAGAATCTCTACGTGCCTGTATAAATGATGCAGTATAGTATTGAACTGTTCAGTACTTAAATGGGTCCATTGCCCATCTTTATTATCATTATTACTTTTCTAAAGACTTTTATTTACCAGGAGATTAAGGCTTTAATCCTGCTTCTGCCAAGTGAATAAGAATTCTCCTACTGACTTGAAAAGAAGCAGGAGAAAGCTTTTCACTATGTTAAAAAGTGAACTGAAAAATACTTCAGCCTAATAAACTGCTCTCCAGTCTTGTATTCGTTCCTTCTTTGAGGTTCGCTGATTTGCTGTTTTCCAATTTATGAGGTATCCTGAGAGCCTTGAGAACATTAGTACATTATCTTCACGTACCAACAGATCTGTGCCTGATCTGAGTATACTTTCCAGTGCCTTGCCATGATGAATTGCCTTTTCTATTTTACATGGTCATAGTACACTACATTCAGTACCTGCTCTGTGCCATCCGAAAGTTAACTGTTTAGTTGCAGGTTTCGATGATAACCACAGTGAGAAGAGGCTGATCAGGAAACTTGTCAAGTCAACCAGGATGTGCGCTGCATCACTCATCACAGCAAGACTTCCTGCGATCCATCCACCTGTGTAAACAAATGAGATTATAATGATTTTCATCATTATGCTCTTGTCATAGCATTGGATAAGTGTATTGACCCAAAGACCTTTGATGTAAATCTAGGGAAAGTCCCTTTCTAGTGATCATAGGTGGCATGATGTAAAACTCTTATAAACTGAGAGAAATTTGTATCATGTTCATGGATTCAAATGCTCCTAGTTCCCCAAAATATTGTTTTATTTGTGATACCTTCTTTGTCCCAGATCCTCGGATGAAAATATCCAATGAATGGTCATTTTAAGCATATAGCAGCTCCTTGGAAGTATGGTTTAATTGTTAACACTTTGCCTCAAGCATGTTGCAAAAAATGGATATTATTGTTCCATTATCTATCTCATACTTCATTATAATTAACTGATATTGTTATTAACACACAATGGTACAGTATGAAATCCATCAGTCATGATTGGAAAATACTTAAAGATGACCTTGGCTAGAAGACAGGGTAGAGATGTGTCTCATATAATCAAAGCTGCATCAGCTTCCATGAGCAAGGGCTCACTTCTTTAGATGCTATGAAAAGGACATGCACAAAGCAGGGTATCAAATAGAGTGATTTAAATAATCTTGGATAAGCCTTTTTGGTAGCTTGGTACCCAGTTTGGTATCCAGCTAGAGGCCTGGCATAATTTAGAGTAATTGAAAGGATAGACAATAGTAAATGGGGCCAGAGGAAGCACCTAGTACATCAGTAATATGCTCTGGGTCCTATTTATATGATACACAGGAGACTGTTATAGGTGAGGGTAGGGAGAAGAACCTTACATTTACATGAATAAACTGTATGTCAGTAGTACATGCTTTATTAGCTATTAGAACTAGGGAGAAAATCTGGTAGGACATTTTATTCACTGAAAGTTGTGGAGTTGAGAAACCAGATGATCAAATCAGCAGGGACAAAAAAGTGACAAAAAGGCCATGGAAATGACTCAAAAGCAATGTTATGAATGTTATAAAAAGCAACATGCTACTCTCAAATTCCTCGGAGCGAAATACTGGAGACCTCAAATCATGTTCTCTGATTTTCTGTGAATCTTTTTATTTCAGAAAGGTGGCAAATATAAATTCAGTTTTTTCCCTGTAAGGCAGGTAAATCTTATAGATAATTTGGTTGCATGGCTATTCAATTATTACACAGCTTGGTATCAAAGACACAATGAGCATGGACTTTGGTATCTGAAGGGTAAAACTCTTAGGAATAGCTTTCATGAATACATCTTTTTTTTTTATATAATTAGTGTTCAGCCAAAAACTCTCCTTGAAGTGGAAGCTAGACAAAAGTCTGTGTTGCCTCATAGGGGTGCCAAAATAAACCAACACCTTAAAAAAATTAAATGATGCAAAATCATATGAACAATGTTTACTCCTTCAAGGGTGCATTTACATGAAGTACTGAAGCACGGCACAGTATGGGCAGTTACTGCGTCATGCATATGGCACATAGATTTCAGCGCTACATCACTGTAGCAGCGTGTGATAACTGGGGAGTATGCTGCTATGGCGACATAGATGGTGATCACATATAGACCCACATGATACTACGTCACTAGCATGTCATACGGTGACATAGCATGTCACTACATTGCCATAGGACAATGTGTAGATGCACCCCAAAATACTTACCCAAATATTATACCATGTTCCATATGCATGGAACACAAATCATGTTTTTCTTCTTGTGAACCCTTCCCAATAAGGCTTTCCATTTACTGGCAACAATTAGATGCTAAGCAAAAAGGAATAGCAATGATTGTATGAATTTCTGGCAGCTCAATTATCACAGCAAAATAAAAGAAGATAACACAAAATGTGAGCAGGGTCTGCAGCATTTTGAGGTACAAATAAAGATGAAACAAAAAAGTCTCAAACCATATCCTCCATTGTGACACATCACCTAACACTGCACTATGGCCCTAACACAGCAACATATATAAAGACCTTGTGTGATATGCTGCAGCCTTAAGAAGCTGGGACACAAAATTTTTTCAGTTAACTAAGTAAACAGAAAACTGAATGTGGGATTTGTCCCTTGTATTTTGGATACTTTCTATTTTATTGTGCTTTTTTCATTCAGATTTACAAACTACCTGCTCTAAACTGCTCACCTTGAAAATTTTATGGAGATGGTACCAAACTATTATTTTATGTACTGCTGGGTTGATTCATACCAACACAAGTCTCTTAGACCTCAGCTTGTGTGTCTCACCAACATGGCCATGACTTCCCTTTCAACTGCCTGATACAGGTAGGGTTAGCTCTAAGTCAAGGTGCCAGAATAGAATTAAAGTCCATTAAAATCCACATTTTGCCTTTAATGGCTAATGTTGCTATGTGAGCACTTCTACGAAGGATATATGTGAGGAGATATATATGTCATCAGTCTGACTAATGGCTCCATAGCCAAGGAAATTGCTGTATGTCAGCATTAAAA